ACTGTATCTGAGGCGGCCAACTACGAATTCACAACTGTGAGCGCCAAACGTCACTGCGTACACGGAATATCAGCAACTCATATGTGCAATAATAGTTAACAGCAATTCCCGGAGTCATGCAATATGAAGGCGCTCGTGTTCAGCTACTCGATCTACCTGGTATTGTAGAAGGCGCTTCTGAAGGGAAAGGTCGTGGGCGCCAAGTCGTCGCTGGCATGTATTGGCCCGATTTCTGCGCCATATCCTCGGTACTGATCAGTCCTTACATACTCAGTGGCCAAGACTGCGGATCTTATTGTCATGATGCTTGATGCGACGAAGTCGCTTGACCAGAGGCGACTACTAGAAACAGAGCTCGAGGCAGTGGGGATTCGGATCAACAAGCGGAGACCAGACGGTTGAGTGCACATTCAATAATGTGGTATTTTCATGCCAATTGATTTGTTGTATAATATAGTCGTCTTCAAACGGAAGACTACTGGTGGAGTGAGTTCAGCAATCCATTTAGCAGCTGTGAACTAACGTTCCAATCTGGGGGCATGGCTTCAGATCACTGTCAGTTGCATTGAAGCACGCCATATCGAGCGGTCAATAATAGCTGATATGTGCTGTGGATAGATCAATGTCACCGTCAAGCTTACAAAGATTGACGAGAAGACGATTCGGACAGTCCTCCAAGGCTATAAGATCCACAACTGTGATCTCATGGTCAGACAAGATGTGAGTCTGAGCTAGGATATGCTGTGTAGAAGTTACTCCATCCTCTGACTGTGACCGCGCATCACAGATCACCGTTGACGAGTTCATTGATGTGCTTCTTGGTAAGCGCATTGTCGAAGTGAATTTCCACTATTCATGATACTTCCAATCAAGGTAACCGCAAATACACACCTTGCTTGTACGTCTACAACAAGATTGATAGCATCAGCCTGGAGGAAGTCGACCGCCTGGCGAATCAAGACAACTCTGTAGTGATCAGCTGTGAGATGGGGCTGAAGTAAGAACACGTACTATGTTTCAAATCAGGCAGCCAACGAGCGCCCTGAATTAGCTTGGATTACCTCAAGGAGATGATCTGGGAATACCTTGCACTAGGTGAGCGCTCGACTAAACCGCATCGACCAGATTTATTAACACGTCGCCGTTTGTAGTCAAAGTCTACACAAAGAAACGAGGAGAGCATCCAGACTTATCCGACCCTGTATGCTTGCGGAAAGGCGCCACCGTAGAGATCGTGTGTAACTCCATCCACAGGTCTCTTGCACACAACTTCAAATATGCACTCATATGGGTAGGCATGGCTGCGCCCCATATGCGGGGTATTGGGCTAATATATCCATACAATAGGGAAAGTCTTCACGATTCGCACCGCACGCGCAAAAAGTTAGCTTGAATCACTTCGTCCAGGATGAAGATGTCGTCAGCAGTATGTACCCCATATTCCCCCAAACATTCCATCCCAGCTGACATGTAACCCGCTTTCAAGTTTTTACCAAGTAGATAACAAGGATGTATAAAAATAAGATACTACGTAATGAGAGCATATAGACATCCACTGGGGACCCAATATAAAGTTGAAAAAGAAAAGTTGTCTGTTGGCCGCATGTCGATCTCGATCGTCAGTTCATCCCTAAGTTCCTGGCCGTCTTGGGAGGGGACGTTCAAAGTAGTCGCCCATCCTACTCTGGTGTCTCCTCTCCCCCACTCCCGACCAAGATTCCCCATGTGCCATTCGATAGAGTCGGACCTCTCTATCATCCCTCTCAGAGCTAAGGTAGTGGTTTGCAACCTTCTCGCCGCTTCTTCGTCCGAAATCGTCTGCATATGGGGCAAACGAAGGCAATGTGTTACGACTGGCGGGTCGCGACGGATGTACCACATGCTCAAGTCCTGGTGGCCGCACCGGACCAAGGGAGCTCGTTCCTGGCCTTCCAGCTTGTAGAAAAAGCGGATGCTCGACCCCAGAGGGTCCTCTTGGAGGAATGTAGGGCGAGGCCGGGAAGTCCGGGAATGGTGAAGGTTTGAGGTAAGGCGAAAGCACCGACAGAGTCGAATGATAGTCCAGGTTGTCGCTCATTGGTCTCCTGAGAGCCTGCCTAGATGGTGACCCCAACCTGTATTGCACGTCCATCGACATTGCAGCGGGTTGGGAATGAGAGTGCGGCATGTATGCTGCGGTGAGCGAGCGCGGGGTTGGTCTATGGTCATTAGGGTCATTGGCTGGGGGATACGGCGAGCCAGATAGTGGTCGATCTTCAGGATGATACATGGGGTCCATAGGGTGTCGATCGCGGGTGTGATATTCTGGAGGCGCAGACTGCCTTCGATAGTCGTGAAACTCCTCGTACTCGTCCGGTCGATGATACGTCTTTTCGGCCTCATGGTAGCCCCGCGGGTCATAGTACTCTTCTGCGGACCTGATTCTGTACCCCATCCTAGAGCTTTCCATGTACCCGTAGCTGGGATGCGACGTGGGTCGTGACATCATCAGCCTCCGTTGTGCTCTTTCTCGGCGCTCTAACTCCCATAACCGATCTCGCTCCCTCTCTTCTGCACGTTTCACCTGCTTATCAACGACCCACGAACGTGCGCCGCCTATACCGTTGTCGCCCCTATCCCGCTCACGCACCCGATGTCCTTGCCATGATCGTGGCGGCGGCAGGGTCGTATAGCACCCCTCGTCCTCCTCCGAAAGGCGCATACGGCTTCGCCGTCCGTCCCCAATGGGCCGAACTGGCTCGACGACCACGTCGCGGATTGCGTGTGATTGATCTGGCACGAGTCCTGTCCCTCCGAGAACCCCTGCGACAGCTTTCTCAACACCAGTCATCTCACTGCGCGTTTTGTTAAGGGCTATGCTGAAGAAGGACGCTTCGCCCGTGTCAAGCTGTTGTTTGCCCTTCTCGGAAGTTGTCGTACTTCGAGAGTTTGAGAGTAAGCTGGGAGTGATGATGGTTGGCCCGAGGTTGCGTGAAGTTGAAGAGCCTCCTGCTTCACGCTCTTCGCGGCGGCGCTTGGACAAAAGGTACGCCAGTGCGCCGAGAACGGTTAATCCAATCATTGTAACCGGAACGCCGATCGCGACCGCATTACTTCGAGCCGGCACCGAGTGTGCACTGAGGGAGCTTGGAGGAAAGCTTACACCCGAGAAGCCAGTGGTTGGAGCTGAGTTCGTTACAGTTATGTTTGGAGCAGCTGTGTATTAAATGTCAGAGCTAGTCTGTGAAGAGCCCAATCTCTGACGTACGTGCGAGAGCGAACCCCGGAGACTGGAACGAGTCACCGCCATCTGACTGCATCTTGATAAAGAAGGAACCTTGTACCGTTATGTTCGGGATGACTCTGTTAATTATTATTAGTTGTTATGAGGCTCCCTTTACCGCTTGCATGTTACACTCACATGGACATGGAGTACACTTGTTGCGATGTTGACTGTGCCGTCGCAACGGTAGGGTGAACAGAGCTTCCACAGTCCTGACCAGACGTTTCTTGCATGCAAAGGGAGAAGGAGGGAGAGTCGATCTTCTGTGGCGTTGTCCTACATGAACGATAACGGCTCGCGTCACGAGTGACTATGGCATAGGTTCAGATTGAATACGTACCAGGAAGCGACAATGGTCTGCCCAGGCTCAAATTTTTCTCCCGATAGGGGAGAAGTCCATGTTACATCTGCTGCCAGCGTTGTAGAATCTGTTGCGCTGGTGTTCTTGGGCGAAGACGCGACGACTGGCAAGATGAACACAACAAATAATAGACAGCTTGAAGGTGAATAATAGCGCATAACCTGGCGCGTATGAAAGGGGTAAAAAGGTGTGCTCGGCACTTGATGAAAAGTGTGAAAAGAATGGCGATGACGAAGATGAGCTCCAGGCAGCGAACCACAGCGTGTGCTACAGGATGTGAGGGTAGTTCAAGACCAGAGAAATCCAACCATCACCATCTCGACCAATCTCTAATGGATCTGAACTTGTACTGGGGATGTGATTTGAAACGAGCGGTGAATTCTAGCTGACAAATGCGGCCTCATCCATCAGTGCCTGTGAGCTTGCCTGGGGTGGGGAATCAGAACTTACACACTGACACCGACTTGCAAAATGTCTGAGGAATCTAAAGAACTAGCTGCCCTCATTAACATCATTGAAGATCAGGTTTCTGATCTCTATCCATGTCAGCCGCTTGGGTCGCTGATCGGACCTCATCTCAAAGGAACGTACCCTCCGTTTCGGTCGCTTCGCGGCCGACGATGCTTTCGCCATCGGGAGCGAAATCAGATCCCAATTTCTTCAAGTAAAGATGGGATTCTATCATGACTATTCTTCACGCTATGCTGACGAGGGTCGATGTTGGCGTAGAAAAAACTGGGGGGAGAGTTTCACAATCGAGGGATCGTAATATCGATTGCCACAATGACTGGGCACACACTCTTTGCCTGCGCGTGCGGTGACGAAAGCGCAGTGGGACCTGGAAATTGGGAGTGGGTGGAAGGGAAGACGAACATCGTCAAGAAGCACAACCATAGCTCGTACTTGATCGGGCGCAAGGCAGTCCATGCGGGCAAACAGGTACGTCGCTCCATCGAGCGTAATCGCGAGTGCGGTGCTTAGCGAACTCAATACCTCATTCTAACAGCCCGAACCGTTCTCTCATGGCGGGGCGTTTCCAGTCTGGATAGAAGGCTCGCCCGTCGCGCCGTTGGCGGTGATCGTCGTGAGTGGGCTCCAGCAGCACGATGACCATCAGTGTAAGTGAGCTAGCTTCAAGTGTTTGTGCGCAGGCAGCTTACCCGCTTACACGCGATCTCAGTGGTTGTGGACGCAATCAGGGACCACATCCAGAAGAAGAAGAAGTGAGGCTGTCTGTATGAGTATAATAGACAACTGTTAGATGAAGTCAGAACTACAGGTCCTGAGCGTGTCACTGCCGGGTAAAGAATTAATAGTTGAGCATGGAACTACAAAAATGCAAGTGCGGTAGGTACTGTTCCAGCTTATTGCAGATAGCTCTCCAACTGGGAATCGAACCCAGGTCGCACGCGCACAATCTTGCTTTGAGAGAGAGACTCCCAGATGCTTGACAGGCGTGAGTTCTACCATTATACCATTGAAGAGTCGATATTAGAAGGCTATGCATTCTTGCTATTGATCACGTTTTTATTATACCTTATGGCTGCCTCCTACATGATATGTGGACCACTTATATCTCGTGGCTCTCTCGCTACTTGGATATATTTTCCATCCAGTTGTCATTTTGTCATGAAGATTCCGGTGAGAACCAGGTTCGGTGCACCCTCGGGTCCCGGAGTTACCCTTCGGAATTTGACTCTCCTCTCTAAACTGTTCCGCATTGCCACTCTCACCACCCACGGCGACATGAACGGCTTAGAGTTTGATCCAACGAACCTCTTCAACATTAGTGGACATGCGCTTAGGTTTCACATCCACTTGCTTCAAGACCATGACCTACGAAGTGCTCTGTCGGCACAGATCGAGGTCAGTATGGTGTACATGCCCGTAATTGACCAAACTGATACTTTAATCCGGGGATGTCATGCTTCAACATTACCCTATAGTCATTCGGAGGGTGTCCTGTCTCTCCTGATGGTGATGAGAACCCCGATAAGCCCATTTTGGTGCTATACGACGCGGCGGAGGTTGATCTAGTGCAGTTGAGCCAGTCGGCATTGAAATCGCCCCACATCTGCTTACAATGGGAATGGGTACTCGCGTGCAATAAGGAGAAGAGGTTTATTGGGCCGATGGAGAATGATTGGGGTGGGCACCGGTTTTATCCCGTTCCGGGCACGCCCTCGTCCGCTACTTCATCCACTCGTTACACCCACTCGACAAGCCCCACTGCACCTCCCAGCCACAAAGTAGAACCGGCCCTTACTTCAGATTCAACAAGGTCGGCCAGTACTATCCAGCCTACATCCTCAAATAACCTAGGTCGGGCTGTGTTGCCCAACCCTGCCAAAGCCAAGGAATCTACCAATGCGAAACGCAGACGGCCAAGCAACCCAGAAGTCATTAGTAATGACTTGAATGAGTCATCCGCGACAGCCAAACGGCCGAAGATTTCGCTAAAGAAGGCACGGCCCGAGGCAATACAAGGAACTGCGAGTGCTTCAACTTCAGGTTCCGCGTCTCCATCTCTCCAACCCCCTGCTCGGCCAACGCATGTGCAAAAGAATGGATGGTTCGGGCATGACTTTACGAACGAGGATCGGGAATGTGAGCTTTGGTCACCTGTCCTGAATCCAGATTCGGCTCTCTGACCCATCGATTTCATTGCATGCGGCCAGTTATGGCGAAGTACCTGGATTATTGGTGTACTAAGTACGATGATCCAGACTTCAAAGCACTCTTCAAAGATATGAACATTACTGTGAGTGCTACGATACCGCTTCTCGCCTCGTTCCTTCGCTTTACGTTCGCTTACCTCATACTCTTCCAGGCGCCGCACCACAAGGCCACAACCTGGGGAATATACTTTTACAAGAATGAGAGCGATTTCGCTACTAAGATCCCTTCGTTGCGGAGACTGTACACGTCATCCGACGAGGAAGAAGATGGTGGTTCATCATCCAAACTTGTTAGGGCGAAAGAAACATCCGGTTCTATCAAGAGGTCATTGTCATCACAAAATCGCGCTCCCTGGGTGCCCAAGGAGAAGTTCAAGTCTGCCGATGCGCTGACTGTTGCGCCTTCCGAAGAAAAACGAAAGGCTCTTATTCGATTTTTGGCAGAGGCTCCAGAGGGGGTTGAGCAGTCAGAACTCTTGCAGAATTTTGCGCATTTTGTGAGTAGCAAACGTTGTTTTGATCGTCGACTTACAACTACCTTCAACGTGCTGACCAATGTCTTGGAAATTTGAAATAGAATCCTGGGTATTCGTGGAGAACGTGGCAGAAGCTCGTTCGGGAGAACCAGGCGTCACTCGACCGCGCTATCGCCAAGCGGCGTGCTAAGATAGCCCAAACTCCCCCGATATCGTAATCCATTCTTTCGTTTTCTTTTCTCCCCAGTCCAACATTCATGATCATGTTTTATGAGTCGGGCAATCTTGATCCATTCATTCTTACCCACTCATCGACCTGTCCTGCCATTCTTCGTTCACCTTATTCATATGGCCGTATCTTGTCGTCGCTTTATTTCCACCCACGTTCTGATGTTGTCTAGGCGGCAGTTTACATTATATCAGCGCCCGCCTATGACAATATACACCCACCTATTTCCCAAACGTCTTGCGCTTGTTGTCTTCGCCTATAGGGCTCATTGGCATGGTCATAATCGGGTATCACGCTTTTCGGCATACCTAGATCGGTGGACGCGTCCTTCTCAAAACACTTTTATTGGTCAAAAGAGATTAGATTAGATTATGATGCACAGCACCAGTCCGCTCTTCCAGGTTTGATCCAGAACCTCACGTCGTCCTCGAATTTGGCGCTCGCTGGCGTCGCACTAACGTAAAAGATAGTCAACGCCCATGAGTAATTGCGATTTCTAATTGGTTGTTATGCCTAAGATCGTCCGTTCGGCACAGGAACGTGGAACGGGCCGATCATCAGGGACTTGTATTTTCCTTTCAGTCAAAGGTGGCCTGATATTTCGACCTCAACCAATCTTTAAGCGAATCGTTTCTCACTCTCTTTTCAAACCAACTCACCCTCCCCTTACTCTCATTTACTCTCAAAAGGTCTTTACGCAATGACCATAGATTACAGTTCCGTGTCCATACCGGCCCAAACTCAAGCGGCGGCTGAGACAGTCTCTAGCATGATCGCCGTTGACACCATCGCGTCGCACAAGATGCTCGTGTCGTCCGTCGTGATCCTACTTTCACTTCTCATCCTGGAGCAGGCGGTCTACCGGAGCAAGAAGGGAAAGCTTCCTGGTGCGCAGTGGAAGATCCCCATCGTTGGCAAGTTCTTCGACAGCATGAATCCGACGATGGAGAACTACCAAAAACAATGGGACATGGGACCTCTGAGCGTCGTTAGTGTCTTCCATATGTGAGTCCTTTTGCTTGCTGTATCAAAACCTTTGGTTTTGAATCTGCCAAAACGAGTTCGCTTATGAATCACTTTTTCGCGATATGAATCAGGTTCATTGTCATGGCGTCCTCGAACGAATACACTCGCAAAATCTTCAACTCTCCTCAATATGCTGAGCCTTGCCTCGTGAATGCAGCACCGCAGATCATCGAGCCAGATAACTGGTGCGTTTTCGAACATGCACTAGTGCATCGAGCAAGAACATAATATTGACAACTATTTTTTTTTTTTTTCCTCCTGTAGGGTTTTCCTCAATGGAAAGGTTCACGCTGACTATCGTCGTGGTCTCAACGCTCTGTTCACTCGGAAAGCCATCTCGTAAGCCCCTTTTTTTACAGGTCCTACTTACGCGCGGACGCAATGGCTGACTAGGCGATCTCAGGATCTATCTCGGCGTTCAGGACAAGATCATGCGCACCCACTTCGCCCAGTGGCTTGCAAACCCCAACGCCAATCACGAAGACATCATGACCAAAGTCCGAGACTTCAACATGGACACCTCCCTCCGCGTCTTCTGTGGCGAACACATCCCCGCCCCCGCAGTCAAGGAGATCACCGAGCAGTACTGGCTCATCACCCTCGCACTTGAACTCGTCAACTTCCCGCTTGCCCTCCCCGGAACCAATGTGTACAACGCCATCCAGAGTAGGAAAGTCGCAATGAAGCATCTCGAGGAAGCTGCGAAGCAGTCGAAGATCTACATGGCTGGCGGTGGTGAACCGACGTGCCTCATCGACGAGTGGGTCAAGGAGATGAATCCCGATGGCAAGACCAAGAATACGTTCTCGGATCACGAAATGGCACAGGTCGTGTTCTCCTTCCTGTTCGCGTCCCAAGATGCCATGTCCAGTGGTACTATCTACCTGTTCCAGCATCTTGCGGATATGCCCGATATCTTGGCCAAGGTTCGCGCTGAGCATGACAGAGTTCGTCCTGATGCTTCGAGGCCGTTGACATTGGAAGACCTCGATGAAATGCCATATCTGAGGGCGGTCGTCAAAGAGAGCATGAGAGTCAAGCCCCCCGTCACCATGGTACGCTCTAAATATCCCAACTCGAGAGATTGAATTTAACATATTCGTCGTATTTAGGTCCCGTACAAGACAACGCAGCCCTTCCCCATATCACCCGACTACACTATCCCCGCCGGCTGCATGGTCATCCCCTCCATCTATCCCTCCACTCAGGATCCCGAGGTCTACCCCCAACCCGAGAAACTCCTGCCTGAGCGATGGCTCGATCCCAATTCACCCGCCAACCAGAATCCCAAGAACTACCTCATTTTCGGCTCTGGCCCACACAGGTGTATCGGTCAAGAGTACGCGTTACTTGTGATGTCGAACACGATCGTTACCGCAGCCGCTACGATGGATTGGGATCATAAAATCACACCGGACAGCGAAGTCGTGAGCATCATTGCTACGTGAGTCGGTCGTTGTTTTGTTCCAAGTCTCACTTCTTATACTAACCGGTGATTGTGTGCACTTTCCAGACTTTTCCCTAAGGATGGGTGCTTGCTGAAGTTCCGCCCGCGCGCTGCATGAGCATTTCTTCACTTAGTGTACAGTCCTCTTGCTCTGATGCGAGCCCGTTTGAGGACATGGTATTTAAATCTATCATTAGTGTCTCCTACATAATTTGCTTTGCTATTAGATGCACCTGCCCCAAATCCTGATGAGATTGTGTAGCGTTCTATCGGGTAGGCCTCGCGAAAATAAAATAAAATAAAGGGTGAGAATTACAACCGTCTTCAACCACTCCCAGAAGTACGCCAATTTGGACCATATAACGCTACTTGGTACTGATTGGACTAGATCCTCTCGTAGGTCTCGGACCGTGACTTGACACTGCACGGCGTCTATAGCATTGATTCCTCTCCACCAGCCGGCCGCCCGAAGAAGGATCTCAGCGATGCCCTTGCAGCATCCAAAAATTGATGAAGCTGTCCAGCTCGTGTTAGCGCTGCGCGCGAGATGTCCTGGAACCATAGGTGAGTGTCAGAAGCCGGGAAATATATATGAGTGGTTGACATATCGATATCCCCCGCCAGTGCA